CCCCCCCCCCCGCATATGTGGGGCAGATATGCAATGCTGTAGATAATATTGAATAAACATTACTGATACTCATTTTTCTGGCGGACCTGGCCGACAAAACAATATATCACTCGCCATTTAGTGCGTAGATAAAACTGAAAATAACATTAATGGCACGCTTATATTATCATGATTAATATGATAAATGTGATAAAATCGCTCTGAAGATCCTCAATTCAATATCTATTTGATTAAATTCAAAAGACATTTCCGGAAAAGATACGTTAAAAGTTCAGACAAAAATTAAAATATTAAAAAGGAGAGCTCAACGCTACGCGGACGTGACAAAAACACACTCTAAACTCGCAGTGTCAGCAACACGGGTAAAAGATATGGATTCTTTTTGTGGCAAAAAACAATGAATTTAAACTAAACCCAAAAAAGCACAAGTAACTGTCTTTTTGTCACGTCTGCGTACTAGATTTAGCTCATCTTAAGTTCGCTATATTAACAAGTATCCAAAACAGGCGTCGTGATATTAAAGTCGTTTTCCACTTCAACTGTATGGCGTATCGAAGCGCGCGCTTGTATTCTAAAAGCACACTCACACTCAAAGAGTGGACGTTCAATCTGAGCTTCCCTTGAGTGTCATGAAGTGCTGTTTTTGAATAGCTGAAGGTTAGTCTCGTAACTTACTCTGTGACCACTCACCCTCCAGCTATTCAAAAACAGCATTGACACTCAAGGGAAGCTCAAATTGAACCTCCATGCACTCTTTGAATGTGAGTGAGCTTTTAGAATACAGGCGGTAGTATACTTAGAATACAGGCGGTAGAGACTAGAGTGGAACAAATGACTTCGACACAACACGTTACGATACGGTTGAAGTGGAACTAATAGTCTTTAAAAGCCTTTTTTCAAGTAGTTCGGACACAAACGGCGGCAGCCTATTGCATTGTCGAATCTTGCATTCGTTAGAATAAAGTAGATTACATTTAGTAAGTATAGCGTCAGCGCAATTTACGCATTGTGGTATTTCCATCAACCACAATAAAGACGCATTTCAACAACAGCACCAACAGTATCAATTCTCAGAATAAATCATTTCTAAAATTCTCATTTAATAAAACTCAAAATACTGCATGACATTGAACATTTACCTCTATTTATCTTTTCCTACAGATGTATTTACCCCCGCTTTCGTTATGAACAATATTGCATGTGCACCCAACGACAGTCTGCTATAGATTTCGCCACAGCACACTTGGCATAAACTTAATTATCACTTTCCACAAAGAATTTGGCGAAAATTCTAGTAAACGTAGTTAACTAATATTCTCTAATTAGAACAATTAGAACATAGTGCCATTAACGCAGGAGTCGACAACAGATCAATTCAAGATGCAAACTTTTGTTACGTTAAGTAAATATATTTAGATAAGCACAATGCGCAAAAGGCGTTTATGCAAATTTCTTATGCAAATATAGCAGCTGTCTAAACCGTTACGGTGCTCCATTGATAACTGGACTGATAACGTCAGTCAATTGCCACGTAAAAGCACCTCAATATGAGTGAAATTGCAAAGTTTCAGGTAACAATACGTTATATGGAAAAAAAGTGTTCAATTTACAGTAAGATTGAAAATTTTCTTAAAATTTGTACGGGAAAATCCTAAGAAAATTCAATGCGTAATAGACACTTCTAGTAAAAAGTACATAGCTTTGGCTATATATAGAGCCTCGTTTTGGAGATATCGGCTGTAGAGCCCCATATCTTACTACTAATGACTTAGTCATATAAAGGTCTTTCATATTATCCGATATATAACTCTGTATGATTTCGTTAATGTATCACCTGTGACAAGATAAAAGTATCTTAAATTACGAAAACGAGGTAGTATTGAGCTCAGGTCAACATGATCGAGTCGAAGGCTTTCTTCAAGAATCGTGTTTATTTCACAATATACACTACACTAGAATCGACTTATACTAACTTCAACACCGATCAGTTTCCCACGTAATAAAAATTTACATCTGTTAAATCAAAAATATATAAACACGCCAAAAGTCTTCTAATTTTTAATAACTCACCGTCGGGGCTGAATTGAATTATGCAGAGAATACCGAATTATTATGTTTATTATTCATTGTACTGCGTTCTCGGTTTTTCATTGGCTAAGAGCCTACAAATAATTTTGGGTATTTGTAGGTGCCTGCGCTATTTTCAGCGGAAACAGTAATCTGCAGAGGTTATTGGACGGCGCCCGAGTCAGCGGTATTTTATGTGAAAATACAAATTGGCGGGAAATTTTTAGTTGAATTTACGAACAGTTAATCAATTCAATGAATATTTATTTGTTTTCAATTGTTGCTTGTTTTGTCTTCTTTCTGTCACAAAATGAATAATAAAACAATTATTGAATTCGGCTTGCGCAGGATACCAGAATTATTCAGACCTCGGTCAATGTTATCTGCCTCAGCCTTCGGCTTCGGCAGATAACATTGACCTCGGTCCAAATAAATCTGGATATCCTGCTCAGCCTCATCCAATAACCGTTAAATGTCAGTTGGGTGATACATGTACGCCTGACGTACCTATTTTTAATTACGTTATATAGTCATATTATTTAACAATGGTTTAAACTAAGAAATAGGTTTCGAATGGAACCTGTACAGGTAGAAAGAGGTTTTAGACGAACTATGTTTTCCCGGTAGAAACTGGAAGGTACTCTTCTCCAAAACAACTAAGGCATGTATTATAACTAGACACCTGCATTTTACAGGTGTAATGATATACATAAAGATATTACTCGACTGTGATTGGTTGATTTCAGTGCAGTTAATCCCAAACAGCAGTGCAATTTTCTGTAATCACGGTGCATGCAATTTTCTGTAATCACAGTGCAATTTTTTGTAATCACAGTGCAATTTTCTGTAATCACAGTGCAAAAATCTGTAACAAACTGATCTGATTGGTGGAAAAACATTGTGATGATTAAATCAACCAATCAGTTTAAAGCAATTTAGTTTAAAGAAGTAACGGTCACAGATTGCTTCAAAACAAAACAAACATGGCGCCGCGCTACACAAAGTAAAAGTTAACAAGACTGACAAAAATTACATAGACATAGCTGAGTGGAATTTTCAAGCTGTTAGCGTTGTATAATGTGATAAAGCAAAGCCAGGAAAACTTTGCCAGTGGAATGTTCGCTATAAACGCGTAAGTTAAAACTACAATTGTCTCGAACATTTTTATGTAAGTCATTAATAAGTAATAGCATGGAGTGGTTTCTCGTGAAATTTGGATAAACATGCACCCGAGGTCTTTGAAAAACTCACTCGTGCATGTTATATCCAAATTGCACTCGAAACCATCATGCTATTTACCTATACTAATAATATAGATGAAAAAATTTCTTGATGCTGATTGGCTAAGAGGAGTGCAATTACATTTGTAATTGCACTGGAGTAGAGCAAAGGCTGGACACGAGTCGGAAAAATCAACATGGCGGGAAAATATTGATATTTTAAAGTTTCATTTTTTGCCGACTTTTTGCACATTTTGTTTTGAAAATTGTTGGGAATTCTAAAATTGAGAATGCAACGAGCACATAGACTGAAAAAGTTTGTTCACAAGCGACGAAGACAATGCTTAAGTAGTGAAGGTAACTATGCAGGAGTCATCGAGGGGAAATGTTTTCATCTAAATTATTAATAAGTAATAGCATGGTTTCTCGTGCAATTTGGGAAAACATACACTCGTGAGTTTTTAAAGTCATCAAATTGCGACTCGTGCAATTTTGATAGTTATTGCATTTTTTGTTATGTTGATCTTTTGTTATTACAGGAGGAAAGTTATACTCGTACAACAAACGCGGCATTTTAAAAAATTATAATTTTTTAAAATGCCGCGTTTGTTGTACGAGTATAACTTTCCTCCTGTAATAACAAAAGATCAATAATCATGATGGCTCTATAACTTCAATCTATAGGGAGAACAGTTTAGGATAGACATATATAGCCATCAAAAAGTTAGTTTAGTTAGGTATTCCACCAGTAGTAACACTGCATGGATCAATATAAGGGATGAACCTTACTGGACCGCAAAGGAGAACAGTTCAGAACTGCATGATAGAATATAATTGAACTATCCGGTATAAACCAAAAAAGTATAGTTTAGGTTTCCTCCTTTAGTAACACTGAACCAACAAAAGAAGACTTTTGCTGGACCTATAAGAAGAACAGTTTAGAACTGACAAAGCTATTCAGTATAACTAAAGTTTGTTTAGTTAGGCATTATTTCCACCTGTTACACTGGATCAATAAGGGATAATTATTACTGCATGGACGTCTAAGAAGAACAGTTTAGAACTGATATGGAGCTATCCAGAATAAATGATGCTTGTTTAGTTTATAGGTAATTCCTCCTGTAGTAACACTGGATCAATAAGGCCTCAAGGAAGAACAGTTTAGAACTGATAGAGCTATCCAGTACAACTAAAGTTTTTTAGTTTAGGTTTCCTCCAGCATGTAGTAACACTGGATCAATAATAAGAGATGATTCTTACTGGACCTCCAACAATAACAGTTTAGAACTAATAGAGCTATCCAGTATAAAAAAGTTAGTTTAGTTTAGGTTTTCTCCCGTAGACAAATCGGTGAGATGGCCCAAACATGACCTCTCACGACAACAGCCTAGAACTGATAGAGCTATTCAACGTACACAGAAAACGTTTATATTAAGTATATTCATGGTGTATATTACATATCGCCCTTCAGACAGAAATGAAATATCACACATGAAACTACAGCACTTCTAATGCGTCTCTCTAACGACGCCAACAGTTTAGAACAGATGGAGCTACAGTATATCCATTACAGATAAAGTCACTTTAGTTGCAATTATAAGGAATCGTACAATATATAAAGTATTGTTTTTTATGTTACTCTGACTGTATCCACACCGGGCAGGCTGAAAAGTTAGCCCTGACCACGGTGGGAATCGAACCCGCGACCTTTGGGATACTAGTCCAATTGCTCTGCCAACTGAGCTACGAGGCCAAGTCTTGGGGCTTCGGTGGCCAAGTGGCTAGCGCACTTGCCTTTCACCTCTAAGGTCGCAGGTTCGAATCTCAGTGAGAACTTCTCAATGTCACTCGAACCCAGTCCTCATGTGAAAAGAGTAAAAGTCAACGCTCTGCCGAAAGTCGTGGGTTTTCTCCGGGCACACCGTGTTTCCTCCCACAGGGAAAGTTGACAGGGTGGGTTAGGCACATAGGTCTGGAGGGAGATCATTAATGAGGTACGGACTAATAGCGGCTGCTCAAGCGCCATTTGTAAGCTCAAAGTCTACCTCGGTCTGCTTCACGTCAGTCCGGTTCTATCTATCTATTCATAACGTAACCAGTCACTGAAAAGCCCTGATATAGGGAGTGTGCTGTGAAATATCTGTATCTGTATCTGTTCGAGTGTGTGGTATTTCGGAACTAAGTCTAGCACCTTCGATATCAATGTACTCTACGATCATGATATTTTATGTGTACTTTTCAGCCTGCCCGGTGGAAAGTGTGGATATACACTCAGAGTAACATAAAAAACAATATATTCACCTGAGTACATAACATCAAAACACACACAAAAAATATAATATATAAAGTAATTTTAAAGTGTAACTATACTAACCTCTGAAAATCCGTGAATATATGAACCTCTTGCATGCATGTCAGTTTGAATATTCCTTGTGCTAGCCAGATCAGTTGTGGTCCTATATAGGTCAGTAAAAAACAGGATTCAAATCTATTTAGGTTTTGCATTGACGTGAGAACTGGCATAAAACTACATCTGTCGGAAGCAGGTGATACGCCAACTATATAGATTAAATAAACATCATTCATTTGATTTAGAAACAAAATAAGACTAAAATATCATTGGAAACGTATGATGTATAGATAATAGTTATGGGGAGAGAGGGGAGAGGGGGGGGGGGGATAAACACCTTGAGTGTGCGCGCACGTTCTCAAACAGGGTTGCGGAATGTTGTTTCCCAGCATGCTCCAAGAGGTGGGCACCGCAGGAAACATTGTTTCGCAGCCATTTTCTTTTAAATGTGGGCAAACTAAAGGAAATATTATTTTCTATAGCCATGGTCCCTGAAGGTGGGCAAACTTGAAAACATTGCTTCCTAGCCACGTTTTCCAAAGGTGGACAAACCATGCTTGTAAAATGTGGGCAAACCAAAAAACATATATTGTTTCTTAGCCATGTTTCCTGAAGGTGGGCAAACTAGGAAACATTGCTTCCTAGCCACGTTTTCCAAAGGCAAACCAGGAAGCATATATTGTTTCTTAGCCATGTTTCCTGAAGGTGGGCAAACTTGAAAACATTGCTTCCTAGCCACGTTTTCCAAAGGCAAACCAGGAAGCATATATTGTTTCTTAGCCATGTTTCCTGAAGGTGGGCAAACTTGAAAACATTGCTTCCTAGCCACGTTTTCCAAAGGCAAACCAGGAAACATATATTGTTTCTTAGCCATGTTTCCTGAAGGTGGGCAAACTAGGAAACATTGCTTCCTATAGCCACGCTTCCCAACGCCCCAAAGGTGGACAAAACCATGCTTCTAAAAGATGGGCAAACTAGGAAATATTGTATCCTAGCCATGTTTACTGCATGAAGGTGGACAAACTAGGAAATATTGTT